ACCCCAGCAACCCCCACCCAGACCAACCCCAGCACCCCCCCACCAAAACCAAAATTTTATTGCAGATTCGGGGTCCTCTCGCTGAGCGCAGAACGGCCCCGTTTTCAACAAAAAAAAGTACAAAATTCTGGGCGTTTTTTTGTCCCGCCCGGTTTACCCGGGTGGCCCCCCCGGGCCCAACTGGCGGGGCCCAGCCCGGCCATGCAGGCCCGGGGGGCGGCGTCCTCACTCATTAAAATAGCAAAATTCTTTTAAATACTCCCTGGTTGATTGACCCATCTGAGGCCATTCAGGCGGGTAAATCCCTGAATGTCTAAACGGCCCAGATATTGGGGATTGCCCTCCCTAGCTTATGAGTCAATTTTTTGGCAGATTTTTACACCCCCCTCATTGAGCCCTCATAACAGGATAGCGTTACCCTTGTCCTTTTGGGATTTCCGATCATTTCCTTGATGCAATTGCTTGTCATCAACAGTCCGTCCGAATTCCTTCTTAGGTCAAAAAAAAAAAAAAAAGTTAGAACGTGGCTGTGAGTCTGGCATCTGGCGTCTGGTATGGAATGTGGCAGGAGCTTCTTGTCTATAGGCCAAGTTTCATTCAGTCGGAGTAAGTGAGAGTGTCCCAACATGCCATTTGTGATAGATCAAAGCACTGCCTTTCTGTTGGTGGTGCAAGTGTGGGCACTCTCTCTTTCCTTCGCTGAACCACAATGGCATGGTGCAGCCTCTGCACTCTGCAGATTGTATCTGTGAACACGGGGCCTGCAGGTTCAGTTCCGCCTACATAGTGTCCAAGGCTATTGAAGTTCTCTCTACACACTGGGGAGGGTATCTTGTGAATGTGGGAGGGATAGACCTCCTTAGAGAGGGGTAAGGTGGGAAGAGGAGAGGGGGGGGGTGGGGGCAGGGCGAGGAGTCTGCTGGTCAGTAGATGTCCATGGATTTTTTTACTCATCCGGTATTTTGAACATGTGATTACGCAGGTCGGATGCCAAGGAGCTCCTAGGAGATGATTGGGTGCAGAGGCTTCGGAGGATTGTACAGAGGCATCAAGCGACCTATCAGAGAACTGCATGGACAAAGGTATGCATACAATTTCTGTTTTGTTTCTGGGGGAATGACACAGAGGGCCGCACTGGAAACAATTTGCTCGAAATAGACCACACACACACACACACACACACGCACACACACACACACACACACACACACACACACACACACACACACACACACACACACACACACACACACA